TTTGGGGGGGGGGGGGAATAATTATGTTTGCTTTGATGTTTGACATTTGGATTGACCATGTGGCTGTAGGAATTGGCAAATCAAACATCATGAACTGGTTATCGATTTAATTTTGGCGTTTGTTGTGCTTATTTAGAGAGCTAGAAATAACTAGTGCGAAGTTTTTGTTCAAAATATGTTTTGAGAGGACGTAATATAGTTGCTGAAGTTTGAAATACCGCCCAAAGCATCCTTTGTCTTCAGTTGCTAGATTACAGCTTCCAACTTTTGATTGAAATTTATGTATTACAGTGTTGTTTATGTATTTCTTTGAAATCTGCTTGCAAAGTTGTCTGCAATCATTTAAGCAAAATTAAAATGTGTTTAGAAAGCACCATATAAAAAGTGTTTTTACAGTGTTACTGTATAAATTTTCAAATGACAGCCGCCCCCAATTGGAGTTTCTGAGAGTTAGTAATAGTTGTAGCCTGAAAGAAATGCTTTCCACATTCTTTTGAATGCCTATTATTATCTAACACGGTACCAAAAGATCATATAAGAAAGTTTTGAAAACTTTTTTTCAAAATATTTCGGATGAGCAAGATAGAATGAAGATATATAAAGGGGCAAATTTTTCAAAATTGGAGATAAGGAAAAGATGAAATTTAGGATGAGCGAATGATAAAATTTGCTACATAGTTCTAAATTCCTCTTTTTTCCATTCACGTGCAATTTAAATGGTTAAGCCACAAATTTTTATTTTTCAGCTTCAGGTTCTCCATCAAGTACTTCTCTATTATTTGATTTCTGTTGGTCATAAGAAGTGTTGTAGACACGGTTTTCTTTCTTCAGTGTCAAAATGTCTAATATTTCGTTGAATTTCGTTATTTGGGAATTTTACCAAGTTGTTTTTTAATCCTCTATTGCTTCTGAAAATGATTGTAAACATGGTGATATATTTCCAGTTCTGTATGAAGGTGTTGATTCTTTCAACTTGTGGTTCACCCGTCTGGTCACTACGCAAGTCTTCTTTTCGTTCTAAGTTACATTGCTCAGTTTTGCTCATCTAATAATGCAGGCCATGAATTTTTTTGCTGGTTTGCTATTGCTTCTGATGCCTGAGGAAAACGCCTTTTGGTATGTTTTGAACTTTATCTACATCTTGTTCTTCCAGATGGATATGTCTTCATTTATGTTCTAAAATAAAGTTGCTGCTATTGGTTTATTTGAAATTGCAATTCAGAGTTGGAACAGCTTTAGTCTTCTTTAATACCTTGCACTTTAAGAGTTAGTTTGGTCTGAAGTGCTAAATGTGTGTCTGTATATTTGGTCAGTCTGGCTTAGTTAAATAAATATGTTGTTAAACTTACAGGACTTTAGTGGGGATTCTAGATGACTATTTTGATGGCTATTACTCAGAAGAGATGCTAGAGTCTCAGGTAACAAACAAGTTTTGCTTCTACTAGCTGTAGTTCACTATTTCATCTGCTAACAATTACTTTTCCCCTTCATTTGTTTGACACGAATAAATTGCATTGTGAGAAATATGAAGATATCAACAGTTTTTTATTTGCTACATTGTCTCTTATCAGGTTGACCAACTTGTTCTTGAGGTGTTGGTGCGGGAGAAATTTCCGAAGTTGGGTATATCTCTTGTTCCCACTTCTTTAATTCAAGCTCCTTCTCCAGATCTTTACTGATTATATTGCTTCCCATATGTTTTGACTTCCTTCCCCATTGATGCATCTGCGCAGTTAATCATCTTGATTACCTGGGAGTGCAGGTAGCATGGGTTACTGGGCCATGGTTCCTCTCCATATTTATGAACATGCTTCCATGGGAAAGTGGTCAGTTGTTTTTATCTCATCTTGAAATGTCTGATCTGTAGTATGGCTGATACTACATATTTAATTAGGTTTTAAGTTGACGAGATATTAAATTTGACGTCAATTGTCTTAAGCTTATTTTTGGCGCTTGGATTGTCTTACTGGTTGTTTGCTTCCTTTCTCATGAAATTTTCTTGGTTTTAGTCCTTAGGGTCTGGGATGTAATTCTGTTTGAAGGAAATCGAGTGATGTTATTCCGTACTGCACTCGCTTTGATGGAGCTTTATGGTAATTTTTTTAAATTCATGAGAGCTGGAAAGTTTCTAAACATTGTGTTAATGCAAGTTCTTTTCTTCCTTGCCATTGTCGTTCAATTCTCTTGTTTGTGCAGCTCAAAAGTGATATACATATTTGGTCTTGTTCAGGACCTGCATTAGTTACCACAAAAGATGCAGGGGATGCAATTACCCTGCTGCAGTCACTTGCTGGATCCACATTTGATAGCAGTCAATTGGTGCTGACAGCCTGCATGGGCTATCAAAATGTGAATGAAGCTCGATTAGAAGAACTAAGAAACAAGCATCGACCATCTGTGAAGGCTGCGGTTGAAGAAAGGTCCAAAGGACTTCAAGATTGGAGGAATTGTCAGGGTTTATCTTCTAAACTGTGCGGTTTTAAGCATGATCCTGGATCTATAGTTGTCGGAACCACTGAAGCAGATCAGAAAGCTTATGAACTGACAAATAGTGATGCATCTCAGGCAGATACTGGATCTGCTAATGTGGATGAACTTTACACGAGCCTTAATGGTGATGTGGAAATAGCTTCTGCGCCGGATCTCCAAGAGCAGGTAATTTTCTTCCTATGTTATGATCCCATACATATTCTTTCTTTGAAGTCTGTCTTTTTAACTTGCACCCCTCCTGATCATCTTTTATTAATCCTGGTTTACCAGCTTTATCTTCTTGCCGCTTAAATGGGGACTCCAGAATTGATTTCATATGATTATCCGAAATAGCAGAATGTACTGAAATTAGTTTTCTTTCCAGCACAATAGTGTTATTCGTATGGAAATGTGCTTATAAACTGAAACTTGGGTCTATATAAAAAGAGTGAAACTTGGATGGTCATTAATAAAGTAAGGATTGAGTAGTAAGATACTTCTCTCTTTAAGTAAATTTTGTCTGCTTCAAAATGGCTTGGAAGGGAATTGCCTGATAAAGCAGAATTGAAAAGGAGAATGGATAAAACGGGGTGCATAAGTTTTAGTTAATGGGGATATATGCGACTCTTTTTACTTAAAAGTGATCTAGCTTACTAATGTGTAACTAGCTTGCAACACCTCGGTTCCAAGCCTGATGTGGTAAAAATCAATGTTGTTTCTTCTTTTTGAGGATTAGAGGCTGCAGGGGAAGTTTTTTGTTGCAGTTTTATAGCTAAACAATCCCGAGAATTAGGGAAAATACAGAACAAGTAGGAAAAGGAGACAGATTGGGGGTTTCCGTTAAGGGGTAAGGTTTTGTGATGTTCATCGAGAAAGTGAGTTGGTCTCGTGTCCCACTTTCTTTTTATGCGCACAGATAGTTAAAGAAGGCAGTAGAAGTAACTTCTCAAAGATAAGTGTTAAATAAAATATGACCATCAATTTTGTCCAGAACTGTGAAATTAGGTATAGGCTGGTCACATATCTGACTTTTTTGTCCAAATTGTTTGGGTTTTGGAGAAAAGTTACAGTCTACAACATAAAGGCCAAAAAATCCTTAAAGTAATCAAGCTCCATATAATGATCCCTACATTATTATTCACCCTATAAACAATCCATGCATTATAATTCCAGGCATAACTGGTCCATGAACCAAATGACCCTTTTAAGTATTTCTCTTGGGAGTCAGTTACTTTACCTGGAGGGCCTCAATCAGCCTTGTAATAGGATGAGACAATAAACGCCATATAACTCTAATCAGTCTTGTTTACTATGCGAGTGCAATCACATCTTACCTCATCAAAAAAAAAATATATACTATGTGAGTGTAATCATTAACAGATGCCCAATGAATCACTTGTATACCAATCCCATATACGTTTACTCTCAAGTGAATGCTATGTCCACCCTGAAGAATCTTGTGGTACTTAGGTCAATCTACTTAACTAATGAAAGGTGAAATAGTCATTGGCTGGAGTATAGTCTTTTAACTAATGACACTCCAGCATTTTGTTAGGTGATAATTAATGCTCTGCCTTCTCCCGACATAACTTTATTCAAGGTCAAATAGTATTGGCTATACAAAGCAAGAGAATTGCATTGACATCAAACTGGTGACATAATCCAATGTAAGACATGAAGACCCTGCTTGTCAAGAAATTGAAGTGACAGTTCATTTGAGGACATATTTTAGTTGGCTAAGTTAGAAATTTAAGAAAACGCATGTTGTCTAAATTTCTAAAGGTAAAGCACTCACCGGTTTTTCTCCGTCTACTTTCTCCTTTTCATTTTCTTCATTCTTGTTTCCCTCCCCTCCCTATCTCTGTTATCCTTTATTTACCTACTTTCAACTCCAATTACTTCCTTCCTGCCCTTTTTCTGGTTTCATTTTGTTCTGAATATTTAGAAATTTGTGGGAGTAAGTTATCAGTTATTCTGGATATCCTAAAAGTAATATTCCCAATAGCATAACCTATTAGTTCGCAGACAATTCTGACTTACATCTATTTTGCCTACATTACTACATGACCGTTATCAGGTGGTTTGGCTGAAGGCTGAGTTGTCCAAGTTGCTGGAGGAGAAACGATCTGCTGAACTCAGGTGCATATTTTACATGTCCATGCTTCTTTATCTAGTGAGCACAATATTGTGCAGGTTGGCTTTTCTCAAAACTATTCCTGGGAAAGTATGAAGTTCCAGTGTTAGCTCCTTTTCCTTTGTGTTCCGTGTGAATGTACTGATTTTGAAACAGCTAATTATTATACTTTTGGGTAGAATTTCAAAAATTAATGTTTTATGCTACGATCAAGCTGTAAACTATATCTGAAGCCAAATGTTGTTCTTTGGCTGCATCGGCAATGACCTCTTTTTAAGAAAAAGGAGAAAGTAAAAAAAGAACTGACGCCATGTACTCTCCCATTTCTGCCCGTCTAAACCCAGCCTATTATGATTTTCTACCACCTTTTCTCCTTATTCTTGTCCTCCCCCAGCACCATCAAGATTCAGGTATGGAGCAGAGAGACTAAATGATAAGTGGTGGTGCAAATTAAACTATTCAAAATGTAATTAGGTTCAGCTATGGTCTAATGTTTCAAGGACGAGGAAGCTTCTGAAAGGGCAAGTTGATCTCATCCCTGCCAGCCTTTAACTCACTGAAAAAATTACAAAAACTCTATAAAAGAAACGGAAAATCTTGATGTTTGCGGACTGGCAGTTCAATTGTCCATTTAGAGAGCAACCTGTTATACTGTAGAAGGTTTCATTGAAGTTGCATATTTCTCAGTATCTACTCCAAATCTTATTTGAGAGCTTTCAGAATGAAGAACTCTTGTACCTTTTAGTGTGTATAGAAAGCTAAGGGACCTAGACCTCATATTGATAGGGGAATGATATCTTTTTCCTCTTTTTTTTCCTTGTCCACAGAGCTGAGGAGTTGGAAACAGCATTGATGGAGATGGTCAAGCAGGATAACCGGCGGCAGTTGAGCGCAAGGGTATTTGAGAAGCTTCTTTATAAATGAATTATGTCTTTCTTCAGAGTAGGAAGTTATATCCCCAACTCATTTCCTCCCAAACACCCAAAACAAAGGAAAAAGAACAACCGCGCTTCCAGTCCGTTCCTTCCAGCTTGCATTTTGCTGCCTCTCCTATTCATGGAGCAGGTAAAAGCGGAGCCACCTAACCTTCCAGCTTGCATTTAGCTACCTCTCCTATTCATGGAGCAGGTATAAGCGGAGCCACCTAATAATCTAATTAATGTTAGCCCGGATTCCCTGTCTCTTCTAACATGTATAATCTGCTCCTGCTTACATTGATCTATGGGAGAATGGTGGTTTTATAAGTATGCTCTTGCCTTCAGCAGTATCCCAGGTTGAACTTGACTATGAACAATAAATGCAACTTTTCATACCCGAATATACACCTGAACCACATTCTCGATAAATAACACAATGTGCCATGAATTCTTTTGGCTTACTGTGACTATGTGCTTCCACACATCTATTTCAGTAGACTTGAGGAATTTCTAGATGGTTAGCACAATAGACTCCATCACCATTACCTGCTGTGCATTTGATTATTTGTCGTACTCTGCTCCACAAAGTGATGGTTGCTTTTGGCATATATCATCTTCCTTTTCCTGGAAAATTTTGAATTTAACACAATTACATTTGAACATTGGTATTTTCATATGGACTCAGGTTGAGCAATTAGAAAGACAGGTTGCTGAGCTTCGACAGGCACTTGCTGCTAAGCAAGAACAAGAGAATGCCATGCTTCAGGTGACAATTTTCATTACTTGTTTGATGATGTATCGGAACATTATCTCCTAATCCCCCTTTCTTTCAATTTTGGGTTTATTTATTTAATTTTTGTAGGTTTTGATGAGGGTGGAGCAAGAACAGAGGGTAACAGAAGATGCTCGTATATACGCTGAACAAGATGCAGCAGCTCAAAGACATGCCTCTCAAGTGCTACAGGTTTCTTCTTTGATTGAATTTCTTGGTGAAATATTTGGATTTCTAATTCTTTATCTGGGAATTCTTACTCCATCAGATTCTTTGTGTTTCTCTACTCAAGCTTATCTAGTTCATAAGTTCATGCATGATAGGGGAACTTAAATTTGGAAATATGACAGTAGTTGGCTGAAATGTTGAACATCTTGTGTGTCACTGCTGACAACCTGCAGGAAAAGTATGACGAAACCATTGCTTCCCTCGCTGAGATGGAAAAGAGGGTGGTTATGGCAGAAACAATGTTGGAGGCTACCTTGCAGTACCAATCTGGTCAAGATAAAGTACTACCTTCTCCGAGGTATATACCCATGCTTACATGTACTACTTTTGTTGCAGTATTAAACACATTATCATATGCCCTGGTAATCATAGTGTTCTTTACTGACACTATTTCATACTTAGTCATTTCCTTGCCACTGAAACTGCTTCATCAGTTGCCAAAGGACAATAACATGCCTATGTAAAGAGTAATAAGAAAAGTATACTACCTTGTTAATGCAAATCTTGTATTTTCTCTAACATGGAAGAACGCGTTTATTTATAGATCCACACAGCAAGATTCATCTCCTGTAGGGGGCAACCTAGATTCATCACAAGAGATACCTGCTAGAAAGATCAGCTTGCTCTCAAGACCGTTTGGACTTGGCTGGCGTGACAGCAGCAAGGTAAGTCCTGTTCTCCAATTTAGGGATGAAATCAATTGATTGGGTCATCACCTTTCTGGCAGTTATTAGACATCACATGTGCACTTGTAAGATTGCTAGACTCCAGCCGTCATGATTTACCTGGAAAGATGACTAGTTCTATTCACTATATTTCTTAGCCTGTCTAACTTGCTAAATGCTGTGACATTATTGCTGGTATTTCACCATCCACAGATATATTGCAAACTGGACATTTCTACTAACATCAATATCCTTTTCTTTCTTTTTTTACTGAACAAAGATGAATATTTTTTTCAAACATCAATTTCAAGCTTTATGCATTCTATTCTCATGCTTTATTACCCAGCTAGATTATTATGTTAAAAGTAATAACTGAATACTAATATGAAATCGTCCCATATGTTTCCCGCTTTCATGTGTAATTATACATGTCAACACATTTGTGCTTACAAAGTGCCAAAGAAATTCGGATGCAAATCTCCTTTTAAACAAGTGGCTAGAAAGATGCAATAGAATATAACTGCAGGTTACCTTACTGAAAAGTTACATAACTTCAGACTTTCAATAGGTGGTTGAAGTTGTAGTATGGCAGTATGGCTTCTGTCTGAAAAATATATCAGCCTTCTTGTTTCTTTGTTCCTTTAACAGTCAAACCATGGTTGGTTCTAATATCTAGTATAAAAATAATTGAGTGAAACAGGGGAAGCCGGCCGAGGAGGTTAATGACACCAACTCTGTGAATGAGGAATGAACGGCCATCTGTTGGAGGAGAAAGTGCAACAGGCCTAAAGATGCAGATTCATGAGACACCAGATGTGGGATAATGGAGGAATAATCTGTCATCTTTTCTTCCCTTTATCCACTCCCTTGAGGGCATTCGTATAATCTGTTGCTTGTTCATTAAAGGTGACAATAATCGGTAGAATGTAAAGCAAAAGGGACTTTTGATTACTGTATTTGTAAAATCGTTCTCAATTGTATTCTATCTTCAAATGTATAAATCACATTGATGGATACAATACCTTGGGGTAGCAATAAACGGCTGAATAATTATTTTCCTACTAAGGTCTATAATAAATCGACAGTTTCTAGGTTTGTAAGGCAACTAATCCATCTAAAACACGCTTCCTTTGATTAACTAATCATATTTGTGTACACTAAGCTGAAAGTAAAACGAAACAATTAATTGTTCATATTGAGGCCAATATAAAATTGATTCTTTATGATCTTTACCTTTATCACTGATATGTTTCTCTAAAGTTAGAAACTCACTAGATTTTGTCCCATTTGGCGCTTTTTACACATTTGACGCATCAAATACTCGTCCAAAAAACTGTAACACTTAGAAACATTTCTACTCCAAATGGCATGGGAAAAAAAGTTTGACACGAATTAGCAGTCGCGAAGTTAGATTCGAAACCCACGCTACCAGTCCCGGTATTTCGTTAAAGAAGAAGAAAAGAACATCTACCAGTGATTTAAACTAGCAATACTCAAAAAACGGTTACTTTCCAGTTTTCCTACAAGGCAGTAAGCAAGTAGGATTTTACACTTTTTATAAGCCTGCTCAGCAACTGAACTTTTTCTTAGGACTTTCAGTCTCCCTACTGTCAATAAGTCAGACTAAGTGCTACAAATAAAGGTCCATATTAGTTGCTGCAAACAGTAATACCACAGAGAACCAGCTTCTAGTAATCACGCTGGGCATCCAACTCGAGCAACCGTCATATGATAAAAAAAATCTTAAAGCGCCGCTGCTTAGCCACGGGGGGGGGGGGGGGGGATGATAAATGATCCAGGAAAAAAGGAAAGAAAATGAGAAGCTCACACGAATTACAAGCAATATAGTATTTGAATCATACACAGCATACATCAAAACATTGCATTTCTAAGTTAGAAGGATATAATCAATTCCCATCTTGGTGATTTGAAGACCACATATCTCATCTATTCTCCCCTGCTATCATCCTCAGACATGTCATCACCTCTGTGCCTGCAATCCAATTCAACACAAGTTGAGATACCACTCCATTTGCTGGACAGCCGCTCAGGAAGTATGACAAACGACGGAGACATGAATAAAAGGAAAAACTAGAGTATGCAATTTTTTCCAAGAAAATCAGCAGCTTATCATCAGTTCTTGGTCATCGTTTATCACTTCGTAACAAAATTTTCTACTCAATCTAATAGCATGGGAGCACTTTTGAAGCATGCAATGTGCTTTTTTCAGATTAATTGGAAATGAAATTTATAATGACGTACAACATGTTCTTAACTATAACAGACCGACATTTTTACCATACGCGCGCACACACACATAGGGTGGAAGAAACTGTGACAAGGGGGAGACACTTAGTAACAAGGGCTAATGCTTTTTATCCCATTCGACCATTGGTATATTGATAGGAACCTTGGTGCAGTCAATAAAAGTGATCTTACAAGCCAAGGTAGAACTTTAAGGTCAACTATGCAATGCCTGACAAATGAAGAGACCTCAACCTTCTTATGGAAAAGGAGTGACAAGGTGAGAAAGTATCAGCAGTGAACTCGAAGGTGGAAAATTAGAGTATGCAAGTTTTACAAGAACTTCAGCAGATTATCTTGGTCGTCGCTCATCACTGTGATAATTGAACAAATTCCCTCTCTGCTCATGTAACAAAAACTTCTACTAGGTCTAACAAAATGGGAGCACTTTTCAAGGCAATGTTTTTTTTTTTGGNAGATTAATTTATTTTAATTTTTTAGAGTCGCCACTCGGAATTATTTAATTAACGGTGTTCCGAGTCACCAAATTTGGAATCCCAATTCAAGGAAATTTGACTTTATTTATGGTCTGCGAAACACAGAAGACCGGGCAAGGAATTCTGTTAACCCAGGAGAAAGTGTGAGGCACTCCCGGATTACGTAGTTTTAGCACGGTCGCTTAACAAATTATACTCGGCTTAATTGTCTAATTATTACACATTTAAAAACCTATTGTGCATTTTACCTTTTACCGCTTTTAACTATTTACTTTAATCATTTTTGGTATTTTTATGGAATTTATTTGAACAAGTTACGATGTCGTACACTTGTTGTTTTATACCCATCGTAAATCACCACCCGCAATTTAACCACATGTTTAATTTATTATTATTTGAAGTTCGGGTCAAGTCGCGTGAACGCGCACTTGAATTTTTGATGTACGTATCATAGCTATGCCACGGAAACCGTACCCATAACCATGATAATTTACTTATTAATCGCACCTAAAGCAACTAGCGCATTTGAATTATTTACCTACTTTGAGATCATTGTGAGGCCTTTGAAGTATGAAAATTATTTTGGGAATCAAGTGTACAAGGCCTAAACTCATAAATTACGGATGTTCATAGAGTTAACACCTTTGATTCAATTAACTGTTGGTTTTGTTTCAAATCACTAATTCGTAATTGGGAGTTACAGTGAAATTTACACATTTGAGTCAATATTTCGAACTCTGCTAATGAGACGAAGAAACACGATGCAATTAATCAATCCAACCAATGATTTTAACAAATTCATATGAGAGAAGTCTTTTTCGTTTGTATTATTTTTTTTTCAATGGCAAACAATATAGTAATGAACTGTCAATCTTAAATCCATACAAGCTTCAATTGGGTTAGCACCAAGGTCCAATGACCTGAGGTGTCCTGCATATTAACAGCCTAACAGGTGCTACGTGTAAGAGGTTGAGTAAAGCTATGGACCACATGTTGCTACGCTGTCAGGTTGCACACCAATTATGGAGTACAATTATGAACCTGTTTGGTAATGCCTACATTCCCATCCCACCCCACCCCCGAAAACAGAGGCCACACTGACATCATATTTAAGCTGCTTTTACATTGACATCGTCCCATTCATCATGGAAATGTCTATAAATAAGTAGCATAAGCCCTCCCATCAAAAGAACGAAAAGTAGCATAAAACCTACACCACAATCTGACTCTTCTGAAGCTTAAGCTACATAAATGAATTTCACAATAAGCACATTACTAATACTGCCTTAATAGAAGCGATAAGGTTGCCTTTCTTCTAAAAACTTACCCTCCAAGCCAGATTATTTTGATAAGTTGACGAACCCTCCAAGCCAGATCTTAAAACATATGCATTCTTTGGAACTCATGCCAATAGATAATTACATTAAAATCAAATCTGTAATTAAATCCCACTGAAAGTTTAAAGACTGACCTCCATGAAGAGGTAAGGTTCCAAGCTTTTCTGTCCAATTGAAGGTTTTCTAAGGCAGATGAGGCAAGCATTACATCCTGCGGAAGCTCATCATTTTCGTATCTCCAGTTGTATTCATCTTTCCTATATCCAGATATAGATGAACCTGCCCTTCTGTCTAGAATCTCAACAATATCAGAAATTCATGCATTTATCTGGGAATTAATTACCAACAGGAAAACAAAGGGAAAAAAGAAAGATTAGCTAGACTACTTACCAGATGACTGGGCAGCAGGACTTGGCCTGTGGTGTAAAATGGTCCCAAGTCAAATTTAAATTCAAATGACAAGATAAGAGAAGAAGTGATAATGTTTTATATGTTAACCTTCCCAATGGAGGTAAGCCTCCAGCAACTGAAGATGAAGGTTTCCTAATGTTCCTAGCTTCAGTATTGGAAAGAGATCCAGCATCTGGTGCAGTAAATCTCCTTCCAGCCCCCATTGCTTGAGATAAATTCTGCAAAAAAATAAATTTTAGTAACAATACTTACTATAATTCCTAACCACAAACTTGCATATTGACCCACATTGTACCGGAAACTGTTATTTGCAAATACTATATTTAAAAATAGTTTACACATAACAAAATGTAAACAAAAAAAAATTATCATTTGTCGGACTATATTGACATCTAAACTAAAAGGTTTTACCCAACCTCATATTTCAAGAATCCTTCAAGAACATCCAAAAGCAAGGGAGCGCTATCACCATTCCTGTTAAGATCATATCCATTCTTGCTGCTAAATTCTTTTAGCTCAGATTTCCATGAATCCTTTGGCTACACAATCACATAACGGGTCCTTCATAAGTAGAACAAGATACTGACAAGATTTTGCAAAGAACGGTATATATTCACTCGGGAGAACCCTGTACATGATTACCAAATTACACTCTGGCAAATAAACTTTAAGTGAATGGTTTAATTGAGCCCAATCCAAATATTCACATATAAGTGCAGTTAGTAGCCTTCCTGCACATCAAGAGGGGAAAAACAAAAGTTAATACGAACAAGCAAAGTGATCTACTGTAGGAGGATGTATCAAACTTTAACACTTCTTAGAGCTAAAACACATCAATGTTGATGCATTGATCATTAGACAAACAGAGTGCAATAACAGGTATATTATCATCACAATTAGATTCCGATAAGACATGTCTAGGTACCTTCGGAAAATTCTAAGGTAACAAGAAAAGTTTTTAATTTGAAGGGTATATCCCTCAAAATTTAGTATTTGTAAACTAAGTCGCTTTATGCTTTTTGTAAATCACATGTGAAGAGGCATATCCATGAAACTTAATATCTTTATTCTAGAGAGGATTCTTTCTCTTTAAAGTTAAATTTTCTAGAATTCTTGTCAAAATGAGGACTACTTCCTGCAAAAGAATTTGCATTTAGATAGTTCTATCATATATTAATTTTTGTAATGGAATTGATCTGATGTATGAGAAGCAAAAGCCATTATGTTTCTCCCCTTCATATCTTTATTTTTATTATTTGTATACAAGTAAGGTCTAACCAAAACCTTCCACATTGATAGATTTTAGTTCAAAAAGAAAATCATAATACAATAAATAGTAGGCATGACTAAAAAGGGATAAGGAGGCCATAAAGGAAATAGACATTTCCTAACTCAATCCCAAAAGGTTGCTCATGAGATGAGGATTGTCAAAACAATATAACAAAAATCCATTCCTCAACCAATGTGAGACACTCTAACACCCCCTTGCACTTCCAGGACCCAGCTAGATATTTGGAGCATGGACAATATAATTGGTTGGAAATGCCATTTGAAGAAGAGGAAGAGGTACTGGAAATTATCAAGTCTAGTGCACCTAATAAAGCATAT